TGGTGGCGCGGAGCCACTTCGAATTGTCATTACGGACTTTGGGCTCTCACGTGTGATGGACAAAACATTTTGTGAAACCGGAGTTGGCTCATTACCGTACGTCGCGCCGGAGTGCTGGCAGCGCCACTATTCCACAAAGGTGGATATATGGGCTACGGGTTGTATTCTTTATGCGGCCTGTGCTAAGCGTGTAGAGAGTGACAATGTTAAGGTGATGTTCAGTGAATGCGGTCGACCCGATTTTAAGAAGAAGCTTATTGAAGAGTTAACACAGGTGTATGGATACAGCCTGGCGCTGGCCGCCTTTATTGTATACTTGCTCGAGCCCGATCCAGCGCGTCGTCCAAGCGCAGAGGAGGCATTGCGGCTTATTCGTAAAAGAAGGAAAGATGCTGTGGATGTAAACGAAACGACTCTCATGGTTTCCCTCTACAAGGACGATGGGGAGGAAGAGGAGGAGGAGGAGGAGGAGAAGGAAGATGTGGACAACAAAAACAACAACAATGATGGGGATGACGGTGGTGCTGTGAAGAATAATGACGACAGCGGGGATGGACGTGAGAAGAGGGAAATATCCTCTGAGAATAACAACAACAACAAAAGCAAGAAAGGTCATTTCTCTCACAGACAACAACTACGCGATAACAGTAGTAGCAAACAGTTTTTAACTTCTACGGCTCCGCCAAATGATGGTAGTGGTGCTCAGACAGTAGAAAAAGTGGCTCCATCAACAATGAAGACGCATGCCCCTTTGCTGAAGGACGACGCATACATGTCAGAGGGTTCGGATCATGCAAAAACGGAAGTTCATGGTGGGGGTGGTGTCATGGCGGCTACTAGTGTTGACTACGACGGGTCCATGCGTCACACAGCAGAGGCAGTGACATCACGCGGGGCCATACAGACAAACAGTCTTGCCCACCATTCACAGCCTGGGTCACATAAGGAATATACACCGCAGCAGAAGCAACATTTCTTTGATACCTCTGACGTCCTCCTCCGTGAGGACAGTGCAACTCGTCCCTCACATTCTTCTAGCGCGGCCGTCAAGAAAAAGGAGCATCGATGCCGTAAGCTTGAAAAATACTTTGAGAGCGTTGCCGAGGACAGCGAAAAGTGCGAATTCTTTGTTGCACGAGAGTCCCCGTCACTTATTGCACTCTCGCTCCCGGCAAATCTCAGAGGACCTAACGTGCTGGGGATAACGGGGAATAGGAATCCATTACCGCCGCCTACAACAACATTGCCAGCTGAGACAGTCGATGCATCCACGGCAAGGAATAGGCACGAAATAACCACAACTGCGGCTGCTGAGCCGAGCCGACGGGAGGTGGAGAATTATAGCTTCAGGAACGAGAGTGCAGAGGCTATGCCTCTATATGCATGTAGCGCGGAAGTGTTTCCGGATCTTCCATCTGATGGGGAGTTTCCAAAAAAGAACGGGAAGAACAAGAAGAACAAAAACAAGAGGGGCGGCAGTGTTGTTTTCCCCCGTGATGATGGCTCGACCGTTGTGAAAGAGTCGACAACTGCATCATCCACATCGATGACATTTTCCACGTCCACATCTTCCCTTAGGCGGCGTAACTGTTGATTTAACGCATCTCATGTATTTATTAGATGCCAGTAATTTGTTGTTGTTGTTTTTGTTGTTGTTGTTTCATGTATGCGGTTAAATTCTTGCTGCTTTAGTTTTTTTTTTTTTTGTGTTTATGTTTCTCTGACCCGTGGAATGCCTCTTAAGGCTCATTATTCTTCTTCTGTTCTCTTATTATTATTATTATTATTACTCCCGCTGTTGCCCTCGGTGTTGCTTCTTCTATTATCGTGTTTGTGCCTCATAGTCTTTATTTCTTCCCTCTTGCCAACTTTGTATGCACGTATACATATATATATATATATACGCCGTCCAACTAAATGGTTGTTGTTGTTGTTGTTAATAGATAAAACATAATGTTGTCATTTATATAAATATATAAATATATTTCGTTCTGCGTGTGCGTACGTAAATGCGAGCCAAGTGATGGAAGAAAAGAAAAAAAAAAAAAGGAAAAAAAACTTTTTTTCTTTTCTTGGTATTTGTCTGTGTGTGTGTGTACATGTGATGTATTTCTAATGATATTTATTAATATCCGTTTGTTTTTTCCTGTCTGTACGTGTGGTGGGTGGGCTTTGTTCTCTCATCATTATTATCATCTGCGCGTTCCCTCTCTATTTTTCTCTCTTTTATTTCTTGTGCTTCCATTCACGGCAGTGATTTTCTCTCTGATAATTCTACAAGGAGGAAGTACACAAAAAAAAAAATTTAAATAATTTAAAAAAAGTCTCAGTGTGTGCAGTGAAGCCTGAGAAGGTGTTGGGGAGGGAGGGTTAGGGGGGGGGGGTTTGCTTCTGTGTGAGGGGTACAAAGGAAAAAAGTTACAAATATATTTATATATATTTATATATTATTTTTTTTTTTCCTAGATCTGGACGTTATTGTTCCGGCGGTGATTTTGCAGGAGCCTAACCAAAGCCGCGCTCATTAGTAAGCATATATCATTACATTAGGACAATTCCCTTTTGTTTTTTTTTGTTTTTTCTGTTGTTGTTGTTGGTTGTTGCGTTAGGGTTTGCTGTTTATATTTATATTTATAAAAATATAGTTTCTAGCTTTTTCTCTGCCACCCTCTTTTCCTTTCTGGGTGCAGTCTGAATATTATAAGTATAAATATATATATATACGGGTTTGTAACTTTGATCGATCATGCTGCGGTACGTACTTTTGCTCATCTGCTACCTTTCCACTTTGGCAGAGATATCCCTGTGTGTGTTGGATACAACGGAAGAAGAATACGGCAGTTTATGGATGCCATTTGACTCTACAATGACGACTGGTCGGGCACACAGTGCGGTAGTTTATGCATACGCATCATTTTTTATTGTGGGTGGTTGCGAGGACCCTACATGCAAAAAGCGGTTGAATGTTGTGGATATAATCGACCCGAACCAAATAAATCCCACAAGACAAGTGACATTGCCCATCTCATTAGAAGTCGAGGAGTTGGACAATAAGAACATTTATTCCAAACGTGTTCCCATGGGCGTGGCCGGCCCCACAACGATGGTGCGAGTAGATCCTCAAGATGGGGACGATGTCTCTTTATATGTGGTTGGTCCATGTGGATATTATTTCCCTGAGCATCAGAGGACCGTGAACTCAACACTTATACGGCGGCAGTACAAGAGTCTTTGGCGTCTATCTAACGACTTGACACGTGTAGTTTACCATTTCAGCATTCCAGAAAATTCCCCTGGTAACGGGGAGAGTGAGGAGGGCATGAAGACAGAAATTCCAATCCGTGCAAATGCCACATGCGTTTCACGTGGAGATTTTATTTTTATTGTTGGAGGTGTTGACATTTTTACTGGTAAAGCCCTTGCAACAGTTGATGTCTTTGACACAAAGTCTCGTCGCTACACGCCAGAGGTTGTTCGACTTGAAACCGCCGTGCAAAACCCACTTGTTGCTGAGGACAGTGCGTTTATTTACGTTGCTGGTGGAGAGGTCCAACTTAATGTGAGTATTGGGGCAATAGGGGATGCGTGCACGGACAACAAAACGCAGTGTCAATTGTCGAATCATAGTGACATTCAAAACATCATTTGGCGCCCATCTGCGACGGTACAAGCGATTATATTTGGCAATTTATCTAGCCAACAAAACGACACCATTCATGGCGCCAATGATTCTTCCTTAAATGTGTACATTCAAAATTTACCTGCCAATCCAGAGCTGCTTTTACGGGGTATGGATAGAGACACGTTTTACCGTTCAGGCAGTGGGCATTTGTTTGCCTTCAATGGAAAGTTGTGCCTTATGTTGAATGCCACCTTTGTCAATTGTTTTGACGTGGATAAATTCTTAGGCTTCATCTCGTCTTCTAGTGACTGCAACAAAACCCTTAAATGGCAGCCAGTTTCGGGAACGTCAAACGCTCCACCGGTTTATGGGTCAACACCCTTTGCCTTTCCCCTTCCAGTGGGTGTGTTGGGTACCGTGTTGTCCTTTTTTGAGTTTGGCGGGTTTGATGTGGATGGTATCGCCTCCGAGCGGGTCTTCTATCGAACCAGCGGTCTGAGTCTAACCAGCGTCTCGAAACTGGGCATGATTGTACCAGTTAACAAGACGCTGAGCCTGACGCTTCACCCACCGAAAGAAGGATACTTGCGGCTGTCGGATAATCTGCGCTGTATTGGAAACACCGCGGGGACGTTGGACGTGTGGGTCGTTATTTTCCCGCATGAGTCAGCGGTAGCCGAGTTTTATCCAACTACTGAGAGTAGACACGTTTATGTATGCTTTTCAAACGGCCCTATATGGCTACCCAAGGTCCCGACCACAGACTCCGAGTACCCTTTGCAAACGGAGGGATATATATTTACGCCCATAACATTTACACCATTCCAAATCCGCGATCCACGCGACCCTTCTTATCCGCAAGAGAAAAAGGATAACAGTTTGTACGGGATGAGTGTAAGCGTCAGCATCTCAGTGGGGATTGTCGTGGTGGCAGTTGTGGCATTTGTGTTTGTGCGTCTGAGGTCGCCGAGCGGCTACTCTGAGGATTACACCATGCATCTACTGCTTGCCGGGAACAATAGCGATGAACCACGGGGTGGAAACCCCACTTCTGTTGCTGTTTTGGCTGCCGATGGGCAAATTCCTCATGATACGCCCAAGAAGAGCAAGAAAATATCAGCGGAGACAAGTAACTTTATTGTGGAATCAACTATGCCTATGAGCCCCAAATCGGAGCAAGACAGTTTAGTGAAGAACACAACACATTGGTCACGCTATGAGGTCCTGCAACGAATTGGGGAAGGGGCATTCTCTTCAGTGTATATGGTTCGACGTAAAAGCACTGGGCAGAAGTTTGCGTTAAAGTATCTTGTGTGCAAGGATAACAAGGAGCGCTTAGATGCTATTCGGGAGTGCGAAACAATTAATTCATTACAGGGGCATCCCAACATTATTCGCCTTGTGGATATGTTTATGAATTATGAATTTGATGGAGGTGATATGGTGGGTTTGTGTGATGTCGCAAATCTCTGGACGACCCCAACACCCGCAGTAGCCGCCGCAAGTCCAGTGAAGTTTTTGCCACCGCAGTGGTCTGCAGTTGGGGAAAAGAAACTGGTTCATAACCCACATGTGGTCATGGCATTAGCGGGCCCACAACGTCCCCCGCAAGGAGGTGGATCGAAGCCGCAAGAATTGCCACAACCCCAGCCGCCGTCTTCTGTTCGGCATATTCCTTCAAAGGGTTCTCATCGCTTGGAAGCAGCTTCTATAGAAAATGCCAAAAACACGTCGACAGCAGGAAAGCAGTCACTTTTTAGTGTCGCAGAAGCGGAAATGACGGGACCCGGCACTGCGGCATATCGGTCCTTTCACTCCCCCACCGGGACCAGAGGTGATGGGGATGGTTATGATGCGGATGGTACTGTTCTTGGGAAGGTGAACTCAGGGATGCCACTGGGGCTTCCGCCTCAGCCTCTTCTCCCTACTCCTTCTCTTTCAATTCCTCCTCCTGCCGTCACGGCGACGATGTCCATGGCAAGCGGTGGAAACCCAAGGCTGTTGCAGGACGTGAACGGCTGCGGCGCAGCACGGGGCTCGGGGTTGCACAGTCCAAACGTTAACCTCTTTGGACCTCCGATGGGGATGTTGCCACTGCCACCAAGAAATGCGATGCATTACAGTAACTTTGCGCAGGTATCACACGTGGGTGCCCCGCTGCCATTACTGAACGCACAACATGAAGTTCTCCCTGCGCCTCAGAAACGAACTTCGTATGCCCCACTTGGTGGCATTCATTACAAAGACTTTGATGTCTCATTGGCCTTCTCGGGTAATAATGTACCAACAGTCATGCAGGTTCCAATAAATCATAAAAACGCTGCCGCGACGCAAAACAAAAAATACGCTCCGCTGCAGTACGTACAGCCCACCGAGGGGAGAATGCAATACACAAACTTCTTTCCCCCGGCTTCAGTTTCTAAAGAGGCATCCAACAATTTGGAATCCCTGACTAAGCCGAGGTCGGTAGCCGATGCTGTGCGTGCGGCTCGCACGGCGAAAGCAAACGAGGGGACTGTGAATGCTGCTAAGCCACTCCCCCCATCAAATCCCACAACTGGCATTCATAGAAACGGTCTTGCAACCGCGGGATCACCGGTAGTGATGGCAAATACGCCCCAAGCCACAATTTTACAACAGCCGCAGCCACAACATTGTCAAGACGATGCGTTAGACATGATCTGCCTTTTGCCTGATAAGGTTGCTGACGTCCGACTGAATGAGGGTGCGTCCATGGCTAGAAAACAACAGAAGCAACCGCGAGAGGAGGGTAAAGAGTTTCCTGTGAAACTTGCAGTCATCAACTCGCCGGCACACATCGTAAAGTCGCCCACTGGAGTAATCCATGACATGGCTAGGTTGACAACACCTGGCACACCCGACAGTGGACCGGTGCACACACGTTATTTATGTCTTGTGATGGAATACCATCCAATGGGTGATTTATGTGGCTACGTCCTTCGTCACTCAGCGAAGCATAATGTCAAGTTAAAACGTCAACTGGAAGAGGAAAAGGCACGTTTTATTAAGGCGCAGGAGGAACAGGCTAAGAAATTGGAGCATGATTTTCCAACAACGTGGGTTCGAATAGGATCGGAGCAGGACAGCACTCCCTCATTTTTCCGACCTGGGAAGTCTTTAATGAGTCTTAGTCATGAAACCCAGTCTCAATCACCACGTGACCGTATGAACGAGGCGTCAAATAACGCCACGGCGGGGACACGTAGCTTCAGCAACGATGATATTCTATTAGGAATGGGCAGCATGAGTATTTTGGAAAGGGAAAGTGAAACGGAATTTGCCATGCGAGGAAACGCCCTGACGGAGCCGCAAATTTTGTCCATCGCATACCAACTTGCCTCGGTCTTATATCATCTGCACTCGCAGCGTCCACCCATTGTGCACCGTGACCTGAAGCCAGAGAACATTCTCATTCGTGGGGAACCATCGCATGGTGCTAGCGAGAAAAATGATGATGATGACGAAGCTGATGATGGCGAGGATGATGTTAAGATGCATCTTCATAACTCTGAAGATGGTGGCAACGGGAAGAGTGGTGCTGATGATTTCCTAGCACGCAAAAAGAACCGAAATTCGTCGCGTCGTGGTACCGGCTGCAGAATCAAACTTACGGAAGATGTCATTCCGATTGTTGTGACAGATTTTGGATTGGCGTTTATGTTAGAGGATCGCCGTCGCACCGGTCGCGGTGGTGGGACACGTCCCTACATTGCGCCGGAGTGCTGGAATGGCCGGACGACGACCGCTAGTGACATGTGGAGTCTTGGATGTTTGCTCTACGCTCTTGCCACAGCACGTGTGACACTTCACACGGTACGTATCATGTACGAGGAGGCGAAAAATGAGGGCTTTGCCGCAAAAGTTTTTAATGACATTTTGGCAGAAAATTACTCGATGGCTTTTGCATGCTTTGTTGTTTCACTTCTGGTGGTCAACCCCAACAAGCGGCCCACGGCGGAGATGGCAATGCAGTGCTTTACGCTTGACGATGGTGTGGTGCGGTTTAACCCCAACTGCCCTTTCTTTAGCAACGTTCTTGACCTGTAACTTTGAGGATGCGGGGATGGAGTGTGGGTGGTGGCTGGTGGGCAGGTAGGGGCGAAAGAGAAAACAGAGAGAGAGACTGAAGGCAATGAAAAGTGCAGATGACTGGTTCTTGGATGCTTTCTTTTTTCTTGCCAATGGAATAGGTATTAAATAAAATAAAAATACATCGTCTATGAGTGTGCGAATCAACAGACTAAAAAAAAAAAAAAAAGATGCCATTGGTTTTTTTGCTTTTGTTTGTTCCTTGCTTTTTTTTTTGTTTTAATTATTCCGATCCAAAGAACTATATATATATATATATATATTTCTGCACGGAATCTTTTTTTCCCCCACTTGACGCCCCCGTTTATTTGTATTTGCGCTTTATGGTGTTGCTTTATCTCTTTTATTATTATTATTTACCTTTTTTTTTTCTTTCTTAGTGTGTGTGTGTGTGTGTGTCTGTGTTATTGGGTGGGTGGGTTGGAAAAAAGGGAAGGGGAAGGGAGAGGGGTCGTGGTTTACATTTTTTGTTTGTTTGTCTGTCTGTCTGCGCTGTATAAATGGATTTAAATATATATATATGTATACATGTATATACAATATATGCTCACGGGCTGCCTTTTTTTTTTTTTTTTTTGTAGCCTCTCAGAGCTGCCGTTGTATACTCAAATAACTGTTATCGTTACCTTGTTGTTGTTGTTGTTGGTTGCTTCGGGTTTTGTTTTTACTCGTCCCCTCCTTCCCCTCCCTCTTTACTTCTTTTCTTAAAACGAAAAGACGAACACACACATACATGTACACTCATTTGCCGTGATAAGCTGTGATGAAAGAAGCATCTGTTTGTAACGTGTTTGTGTGTGTGTGTGTGTCTTTGCTTTCACAATTTTTTTTTCTTTTTTCTTTTGTTTTTTGTTTTGTTTTGTTTTGTTTATGGTGGGAAAGAAAGAAAGGGAGAGACGGAATGATTGTAAGGGATTCGATAACATCATTTTTTTTTTTTTTTTTTTAGCAAACAGAGGAGAGTAGTGGGAGTTTAAGTACGGATATGTTTATACATGACACAGGCAACCCTCATGCCTACACGTTCATACATGTGGAGCTGCGTGTATTCTGTGAAGCCAATGCGTGTTGGACACCCTTTTTTTTTTTTGTTTGTTTTGTTTTTTATTGCGGCCAATTTCCTTCTTTTTCTTTTCTTTTCTTGTGTGTGTGTTTGTGGTCACGGAGGCGAGTAACGGCTGGTAGCGGGGTTAGGGGTCGGCCATGTTTCGTCGTGGTCCTTGCGGCGGGGCAGCACTGCTGTTGTTGCCCCAACGAAAGCCACAGGCTGAAAAGAGGGAACCATGGGAGTATATTCCCACACCGGAGCATAAGAACCTTGTGCTTCTTCTTTACCGTAATATTTTGAAGGGTCTAATGAACTTTAAAAGTATTCGGCGACGCAGTATGATTGCGTACTGCCGATTTGCCTTTAGACGTCGGGCAATGGCGACGGAGAAGTTGTTGATTGACGAATGCATTGAGGAAGCCCGGCGTGCCGTTTATGTACTTGGGAAGCACCATAATTTTACAATCACACGCAGCTACGAGTTTGACAACATGGGGATTCCAAAGGACACGGGGCAGGATGTGCAAAGGTACATGGAGGAAGTATATGATCCTGAGCTGAGTCGACAGCAATTTCAACACTTTCAAGATGTTCAGCCTGGAAAAGAGTATCTACACCAGCAACGTGGAATAGGACCGACAAGTGGCAAACATCACTGGAAGGGACAGACAAGCTCAACAGAGTACAAGGTGGAAATACGCGAAGAAGATAAAGTGCTGCGGCCACCACCACCGCCATCAATGGAATAAGGAACAATGGATTGTATATGGACTTTCTCTCTCTTTCTCTGTGTGTGTCTGTGTGTACATTTTTTTTTTTTTTTTTTTTTACTGTCGACTGAAGGATGAGAACAACGTGGATGAAAGGAAACGGCATCGTATTCGATCTTCCACTTCTTGTTATTATTACAGTTGGACGTAGTTTATTTTCATGTTTACATTCAATATATATTGATAAAAGTTTGGAAAGAATATTTTCTACACGCTCATTTGTTTTTTTCTTTTTTTTTTTTTTCTTCTTTCTTGTTGCTTCAAGGTGAAAGCTATCCCATCTTGGAAGGATTAGAGGACTCTTAGTCTTTTTTTTTTTTTTTTTTTCATTATTATTTGTTGCCGTGGAGTTGTGGGTAGTGAGAAGCAGAGAGGTGGGGGGTTGGGGTGAATTGTTTTCCGCATTCATCGGACACGAACATACACAGACGCAGGGAAATAAAGAGAGAGAGTGAGAGAGTGAGGTGGTGGGTCCCTTGTAAATTGTTCCGGCCGCACGTCTCTTCCTGTGCCCCCTTCCCCACCCCTTGCCATTTGTGCCAACGGAGTCGCATTGCACCCATCCGGTTGGGAACCGTGTATTATTTTTTTTTTTTAATTTTTAAGCCATGACTAAACGAGGGAAGCATGAAGCCTTTTGGAATAAGCGAGACATTAGAAGTACCACATTCTCAAAGACTTTACTAGCGTCCTCTATTATTAGTGGGAAAGGTAAAGCCGATGATGATCATTGCTTTAAATATACAAAGATTCCAGAGGTTACAACTGGCGTGCCATTTACCCCTCGTCAAGTTTTGAAACGAAACAGCTTGAGCAGTGAGAATATCGGTAACAGCAAGATATTTAAGAAGGAGTCTCCTTTTGTGGATACATGTGTCCAACGAACGCTTGGAGAGGAAAGGAAAGATGGAATTTTGCTTCCCATTAGGACATCCCTGCGGGTACAACCCAGTGGAGCATTAAAGCAACAGTTTTTACAATGGACAAGGCAGTATCATCCGAAGGAGCTCAAGCAGAAGGGAGATGAATCTGCCCGCAAACCGCCCAACGTGGCCACGCTCTCACGACAGCAGCGTGTGTCACAGTCTGGCCGGGAAAGTCGTGAACGCAGGGTTTCTTCCAGCAGCGATGACTGGAAAGGCATTTACTTGACTAATCTTCATAGGCGCCACAGGCTCATCGTACGCCACCCCGGTAGTTTACCCGAATTTGAGCCCACAGAGAGGGGGGAGAAAAAAATCAGCTCAGCACCAGAAGAGTTCCCGACATTGAACATGGAAGGAGGCGTTGAGCCACCGATTGAGGTTACGCAACCAAATGTACATCGAGTCACTTTGCTTGATGAAGAGACGGTCGAGCCGCGGTTGTCATTGTCCCGCACGCCGCCCTTTTCCACTCACCCTCGGGGGAAAATTATTTGCAGCGAGCAGGCGTCGGATAAAATATTGAAGTCAAATGATGGTGGCGATTGTTCTTCGGAGATAATAAGGGGTCATTCTGCGGATTTGACGGCTTTTTGTCGGATGAGGCAACGCTCGGTGGAAAACACCAATGACGGTTCCACACACAAAAGCCCCTTACGGAACTTGTTGACTGTATTAACCGTTGCAGGAACCGCGAATAAAAAATGCACGGGAAATGACGTTCAAAGCCTAAAGGCAACAAGTCACCAGTACGTATCCCTCTTAGAAGTGGAGGAAATGCCACCGAGGCCCGTCCAAGACGTCCCAGAAGCAACGAATTCACACGAGAAGGAAATTTTTTCGTTGAAAAGCCGGTTGGAAAATATTCCGTCGACAAATCTTTCCAAAATGTATGGATCCTTGGATGCAGTTGGGGGAGACCGCACAAGTGGGTTTGGGGGAAAATTAACCTCCATAGAAGAATCTCCAAGGAAGAAAAAGAGGAGGGGCTCCGATTGGGCCAAGTCATTGCTGCGACGGGCATTATCCCACTCAATTGAAGCGAAGACGGAAATTATTAAAAATGACAGTCGTAGTAGTAGTGTTAGTGCTGGCACCAGTATTACTGCCATAACGGATCGTGGTGACCAAAGTAAACATGACAGTAAACACAAATACCCACAACAGAGGCGTATCTCACCGCTTTCATCAATCTTTGCAGGGAAGGCGATGGAGATGAATTTACCCGTATTTGCTTTGCCTTCCCCCACTTTTCAGAGGCATTCTATTGCGTCGCTGAATACACGGCACTCGTTACTGTCTGACGCCAATTTCTTCTTTGCTGGCACCACAGGAAGGAGAAGATACGATGCCAGTGCATTTAAATCGGTTCTTACGGCTTCAAGCATTTGTAATATGGGTAATGATGACACCACGTTGAAAAATCTGCAGCCTCCCTCGACGCATTTAAGTAAATCTTCCATGCATCTCAGCGAGAATTACTCAACTTGTATTTTTGACAGTGATTTTATTTATGACGGGGTGGATTCGAATTTTCCAAAGAAAAGTTTACAAAAGTCACTGATGAGCAATCGGTCGGAGGCGGAAAGTGGAATGGGGTTTTTCAGCGCGACGCAATGTTTCTCGCCCGTGATACCGTTTGCCGTCTTGCATCCCAGCAGGAGCAGTGGCAGCCAGCTTGGATTGAAGGACACCGAGGCTGAGCTGCGTTAGAAACAGGGATTTCACGACGGCACCTCCTTCCCATCGACGAATGCGAAATGGCCTTTGAAGCGAAAAAAAAAAAAAAAAAAGTAAAAAAGAAAGAAAAAAAAAAAGGCGGCGGCGGCGTGTGTGGAGGGGGGGAAATGTCATGTTGTTATATATTTGCTAATTGTATTACGTGTCAGCTGCATTTGCCAGCCGCCGCCTCCTTCCATTCCCTTTTTTTTTTTGTTTTTTTTTGTTTTTTGTTTTGTTTGTTTTTCCTCTCTCCTCCCCTTTCCCCTAACACACTCAGTGAAGATAGAAGGCACTGAAGTTGTATTGGCGGTGGTATTGAGAAAAAAGGAATGGGGGGTGAAATACGAAATGTTTATATCAATGACGAGAGTGTTTAAAGAACAATAGAGACAAGAAGAGATGGGGAAAAAAGACAGTGCCACACTTAAGGAGGTGACGGTTTTTTTTTTTTTTTATGCTTTTTGCGTGTGAAGCACAATTCTTTTTTGTGAATATTATTATTATTATTTGTGTGTTTCATTTATTTATTTATTTTTTTTCATACTTTACATCCAGCCCCTTTGTTTTATTTTTGTTTTATTTTATTTCATTTTTTTTCTTTTTCTTTTTTTTTTCTCTGTTATTTATTTATTTATTATTGCCTACTTTTCTTTATTATTATTATTATTTTCGGTTATTTATTTATTTATTTATTTGATTGCATGTGATCAACACGTGTATGTTTGCTTGCATTTGTGAATTATCTTTTTTTTTTTTTTCTTTGGGCGGGGGGTTCATCTCAGAAGGAATTCACGTTTTTATTATTATTTTTATTATTATTTCCCCCCACCCCACCCCTCTTCGCGGTGGCGGGGGGTGTTCTTTTGGCTGCAGGATCCTGCAGCCCGCCAATTTGTAAGGAATAAATAAAATAAATATATATATTTATATATATCCGATCTTAACGATGTGCAAAAGGCCACGAGAATGCCAATCCAATTATCTACCCACATATATATATAATATGTATGCATGTATATGTAGATAGGTAGTTATTTGGATCAAACAATTGGGGTGAGATCACTGTCTTTTCCAAATTTACACACACACACACACACCTATTTTCCACCCCTTCTTATTTTATTTTAGATGATTTCAGGATTTTGCCAGTATCCCAGGATAATATTCTGATTTGTGTTTTTGTTTATAATTATTATTTATTATTTATTATTTAAATCTTTTTTTTTTTTTTTTTTTTTTTTTTGTCTGCTGCACTTCTTCTGTCGTTCCACGGCACATTTTGACTCACACGGGGCGGCGGTGAGGTACCAGCAGCGAGGAGGCGAAGCACCAAAAGAAAAAAAAAAAAAAAAAAAAGAGAAATGGCAGAGGGGGCGAAGGTGGCGAGAATCGTCCGTCGCCGCAGGGCCGAAGGCGACGACGACGACGACGAGAACGAACGGGTGCCGCAGGTGGAGGTTGAGCAACAAAAGAAGAAGACGTCCCGTCCAAAGGCGCCAAAGGCAATGGAAGCTGCGCCGGACGCAACGCTTGCAACGCACTCGGACCCCGTGACGATGGGCGCCGGCGCATCTTCTTCCCTCCCCCCACCCTCCGCATCCACGGCAACGGTGGCGCCCACAGCAATGACGATGGGAGATCGCCTGGATGCACCGCAGGTCGCTGGGAGTGTGGAAGATGTCTTTGAGATTGCATATGACAACTACACCTCCAATGATTTGTATGCGTTACTAAAGCGCATTACGCGTCAGGAAGTGGAAAGGCGCATGATTGAACATGAGCAACTGCGTCAGAAACAACAGCGGGTTCCTCAAGTGGAGCGTTTCCTAGATGCCACCTCCAAAACAGGTAGCAGTGGCAGCAGCGGCGGCGGTGGCAATAAGGCTACAGAAGAGGGCTGTGGGTATAACTACAGTGTCATGTTGCGGCGTCTCTTCTTTGCGCTTAACCGCAACAAGGAGAGCAGTGCTATGACAGAACGTAACCGACTTCCTGAGCCAAAGCTGGAGAAAATTGGAAAGAAAAAAGTTATTATTACCAATTTTGGTCGTATTTGTCAGGCCTTTAATCGTCCCATTCAAGATGTAAAGGATTATATTGAAAAGGAACTTTCTGTAGGAGGAAACCTTGACAGCAATGATGCGCTTATTCTTAAGTACGAGATTCAGAAATCTACTGCGTTTGATAATATTTTATACAAATATTTGGACGAGTTTGTAAAGTGTAACTCGTGTCATAAGATTGACACGACACTCACAAAGGAGGGAAGACGCATGGAACTCCGATGCAATTGGTGTACGGCTACACGTACTGTGCAAGCCGTTGGTTCCGCCACGTACAGTGCACAGGTAGGCAAACGTTCAAAGGCAAGGTTGCAGGCGATGACTCTTTAAAAATATTAAAATAAAATAAAATAAAAAATAATTAAAAAAAGGAGAAGACGAGGCCGTTTGTGAGGAAAGTCTTTAGTTTCTACAATTGTTAACAAAGAGAGAGAGAGAGAGAGAGAAAAAAGAACAAATAATAATAATAATAGCAATCATAACAAATAAAGCAGCCAAAATGAAAAGAGTGATGGAGAGGAGAACACATAAACGTGTATGTATATATGCAGATATACAGATATATACATGTTTATACATATATTAATGGATCACATCTGTGAGCACCGCTGTTTGTTGTTGGTGGTGCCTCTTTTTTGTCTGTGAAAAGACGAAGGAAGGAAGAAGAAGAAGGAGTGATTGAAGGAAAAAAGTATATTTATTTATTTATTTATTTATTTAAGAAAATGCGGTAGGGACGTGTTTACTCTCTCTTTCTTTCTTTCTCTCTTTCCCGTTTAGCACGGCGTCCAACTCATCCCGTATGGAATTTACGCCCATGTCTTCTCTCTCTCTCTCTCTCCCTCTCCCTTCCTATCTGTTTCTCTCTGTTTCTCTTCATGTATATTTCACATGGTGACTGCAAAGGAAAGGGTGGGGTTGGGTGGGAAAGAGGAAACAGAGAGAACTCTCTCACATACATTTGTATATATTTATTATAAGGAAGTAACAAGAAAAAGAAAAAGAAACATCTATCCATATGCTGCAGCGTTCATTCCTGCGGTGTATTTGGCTAGGTGGCACGGCGTCTATTCCAGCACTTGGCCATGACGCGCGTCCTTCTACCGGAAAATACATCAATGTTATCCCACCTACGGATATTGCGAGGAGCATCGCCGCTGGATCATTGCCGCCAGAAGCGAACGTGGCGGCTGTGCGACCGGTGCCGGGTAAACACTACAGCAAATGGAATCGGGTATTGCGTAGTGAAATTTATGATGAGTTATTGAAGCTCCCGTTACGTTACAAACTCCACGACTTTTCCAAGCTATGTCCGCCATCATCATCGTCATCGACATTGCAGGAGCCGCAGTTTCAGAATGTAGGGGTAGTTGGCAAGGGCTCTGTCGTGAATTACAATCCGCCGCTTGGCCCGGCAGACCCACTTGACACGATTCCTTTCTTTGTTCACCGCAATAGCAATGGCTTCTTACCGGGGAGGGTGTATTCAATGGATGCACGCAATCTCATGCCGGCGTTCTTTTTGCGCATCCAACAGGTGGAGGGTGATGTGTTCCGTTTTGAGGAGGAGTTACTGAAGATATTTCCGACCAAGAAGATTTTTGTGCGCAGTCACAGCATCTACGTCTACAACGTGGGGATGGACGGTCGGATGATTCTACATCATTGGCTTCTCGGTCTGGGCTTTTGACGGCAGTGGGAAAAACGGACGTGAATAACGAGCGAGAAGTTCCTTTGAAAGGATTTCATTGCGTCTTTTTTTTGTTGTGTTTTGTTGCGCTCTGTTTTTGTTGGGCAGAAGGGAGGGAGGGAGGGAGGGGGAAGTTCCGAGTAACGACGAGTCGCCGCGATTTCTTTTTATTTGTTTTTTCTTCTTCTTGTTGTTGTTCTTTGCATTCTAAACGTTTCTCCCACCTCTCTGTCTGTCTGTGTGTGCATACGGCAGCGGAGAGAAGAAACATCAAGGAAGGTGACGTGGGCGGAAGGGAACTCGTCCATCGGGGATTGTTGTTTGTTTTTTCTTTTTTCTTTTTGTGTGTGTGTGCATGTGTGAGTGTGGGGCGGAGGCGCAGTCAAATATTCCGTTTGGGACACCGCCACTATTAATAGTAATAATACTACGGTTGCTGCTTTTTTCACATCCATGTCGCCAACGGTGCTTGTGACTTCGTTGACCGCACTGCTTCTGCATGTGGCATTTGTGCATCCGATCATGTCCGACGCGGCGAGGTTCCCGTGGCAGACGCTTCCACCGGGACATCCGGGCAGTGGGAACCCCGTTATTTATCCACCAGGCACAATTCATTATGTACGGCAGGAGAAGAAGATCACGCCGCGTCCCGTCTTTCAACGTGCTTGGTATGTGGGGTTCTTTCTGATGGTAGTCGCTGTGATCATCATATACGCGCTCCTATACATTACGGTCCTTTTGCGGTTTCGTGCGGCCGAACAGGCGTCTATGCGAAATTGTTTGGCAGAAGAGAACAGGGGACCAATACGAAATCCCTTGTATGCTGATTTTAGTGAGTACTAATGGTGAGCATCAATGAGAAAGAAAGAAAGAGAGAGAGAGGGATGGAGAGGGAGAGGGAAGTTCAAACAAACCCTTTTCTTTCTTTCTTTCTTGTCAATGGATAAAATAAGATGCATGTGTCCATGTGCACGTCTTACTTCCTCTTGTCTCTTTCTGTGAGAGAAGACAGAACATTTTTCTTCTCCTTTCACTTTCCCCAGACCCTTTTTGTTTTTGTTTTTTTGTTGTTGTGTGTATGTTTCTTTTTGTGTAGATAATTGTCTTGCACCTGTACATTGTGTGTGTCTCTCCGCTGTGGTGCTACTGGCGTTAGTTCTCCCGGCCTCCACGCCACTATATATATATATATTGTGTGTGTGTGTGTGTTTTACTTAGTTAAAGCTTTGTGAGGGACCCCTTTTTTTGTGGAGTTTATTTTATATTTTATATTTTATTTTTTATTTTTTCTTTCTTTTTCTTTTTTTTCCCCCCCCCCCCCTCCCTTTCTTCTGTGTTTTGTTTGCCGACATGTGTAATATAATATAATATAAGTGGGGGGAGATTGGGGGGGGAGGCGTTTCAATTTCTGTATGCATGTGAATTTATTTAACTTGTGAATCCTTCACAGGGGTGAGAACCAAATATATTTATATAAATAAAGGTGGGAAAAGGTCACTGCAATTGTTAAAATGACATGCTGATTGCTCTCTCTCTCTCTCTCTCTCTGTGTGTGTGTGCATTCATCTTTTCCCCCCTCCATTACATTTGTTACTTTGCCACAGAAAATAGAAAGGGGGTTTAGGGACTGGGAAGGCGAGAAACGGGAAAAAAAAAAAAAAAAAAGAAAAAAAAAAACATACACACACACATAGAAAGAAAAAATAATAATAATAAAAGGGGGGAGGTTTTCCACGTCATGCTTTCGGCTGCATATGGCACATTTCTGTTCATCACGTTATGCACTTATGCGTTGACCGTTGCGCTCTGTCTTTGGCGTCTGTCCGTAGGAGCGCGTGCCTCGAAAGACGCGGAACTTGAACTCAGCGACAACGACGGGTATTGAATACCCATCCCGGGGAAATGAAAACATTTGGCGTTTTCCTGCCGTCTTTTTTTGTTTGTTTGTTGTTTTTGGTGTTTCAATTTACATGCAGTTTCAGAGGGGGGAGCGGAGGGGCTGGCGGGTGCAGACAAACGACCCACCCACCCCTCAATTCCTGTGGCGGTGCGGAGAAGGCTGAAGGAAGAAAAAAAAAAAAAAAAGAGAGAGAGAAAGAAGGGAGGAGGGGGAAATAAAGAAAATAAAAGGAAGAATTTAAATAAATAAATAAAACGGAATGAAGGAAAAAAAAAAAAACGTGTTTTTTTTATTTATATAAATATATATATATATAAATCGATTTACTTCGGTTTTTTACATGGCCTCAAGCAAAGATAAAAACATGTGAGTGGCATTTAACTAATGGTGAAGGTCAAGGAGGGGAATAGGGAATGTCCCTTTTTATATATTTATGTGCGTGTGTGTATATGTTTTTTTTTTTTTTTTTTTCTTTGATACATGAGTTTTATTGTCCTTTCTTCTCATGTTATCGTGTTCTTTTTGTTTTGTTTCTTATTGTTTCATCAATTCTCAGTTGACGTCTGTCTGTCTGTAACTCTTTCTCTCTCTCACTCTCTCTGTGTGTGTGTGTTTTTGGGCTGTATGGTTTCGTTATTTATCATTACCACCGCCTTTATTTTTGTTTATTTTGATTTATTTATTTATTGTTGTCGTTGTTTTTCTCCATCTGTGGGCGAAAAAAAATAAAGAAAAAAGGGCGGGGAGGTATGGGGGGAATATTTTTTTTTTTTTGTTTTTTTTTTTTTTTTATGGCGGATGGAATGATTTGAAGCTGTATACATGAATTTCTCGTGTGTAGTGAGAAGTGGTGGTGGAATGAGGGGGAGTGTCTGCCGTGCCTTTAGAGCGCCGTTGGCATGCCAATTATTTGCCACAGCAGACAAGGCAGCACATTTTTTTTTCCTGTTTGTGTGCATGTATGCATGTGGGTCCATTGCACAGCATTGTCCTTTCTCACTTTATCTATCTGCTTCTGTTTTTGTTTTTGTTTTTTTGTTTTTTTTTTTCTCTCTCTCTTTCTCTCCTTTTCTTCTACTTCTTTTTTATTTGTGTACCTCCCCCTCCCTCTCGGTGCTTTTCAAATCGGCGGCAGGTGGTGTGATTAATGCAAATTGTTATTTATTTTAGTATTTTTAATTTTCAATGATTATTATTATTGATTAGTTTTCATGTAACAAATTTGTTTTTTTTTTTTTTTTTGTTATCTGTCATGTGGTCTTCCTGTGAGTTTGGTTACTGCAGTGTATATATGTATGTATGTATGTATATTGTTTATTTATTTATTTATTTTGTTGTTGTTGTTGTTGCTGTTTTTGTTCTTCTGCTTCTGTGGGCATTAGAAAGTCCCGTCGGTGCCACACAAACCTCAAGGAATTGGGAGGCATACAGGCAAAATACATACATATAGGCATATAGACGTATATATATATTAATAGGAATTGTAGGAATTAATAGTTTTAAGAAGAAAGGGGGGGGGAAAGGGCAGTGGCGAGTTTTAGGGGAAAGGGAGAGAGAGAGAGAGAAAACAAGAAGGAAAGGAAAGGAAGGAAGGAAGGACGCATCTGTCTTTTCTGTGCAAAAAAGGGATCGCCGTGGTAATTTTAACGGGAGGGTTTGAGTGGTGTCATTTGTGGCTGCTTCTTTGGCTCCTGCGTAAGTGTGCGTGTGTGGCACGTAAAGAGTTGTGTGATAACTTTTTTTTTTTGTTTTTTTTTGTATGTGTTGAGAGGAATAAGAAAAAAAAAAAAAGAAAAGAAAAGAAAAAGGAAAAGAAGGGGGAAAAGAGTTGTGTGTGTGTTGTTTATTTTCTGTGTTGTGTGTTGTGGGGAGATCGGCCGCGTAAATCCTCAGTAATTTTAAGTGCCGCTTAAATAACAAAGAGAAAAACAGGAAAACATATATTTGTATATTTACACGCAAGATGGGGTCCGTTCCGAGCCGTGAGTTTCACGAGAGTCCTGATGCGCTTTTTTTTACCCGCTGTGGCACGACGCTGAAACTTGCCCGCCTGCCGCTTACGCCACATTTTTTTCCATCCGAGAATTGTTTGGCATTCCAGCAGTTGGACAATTGTTGCAGGTCGCAGTCCATGAAGTACGGCTTTACGCTTTGTGGCGGTCCATCACATAAGCGGCACGGGTGTGTGGGAGAGAGGAGGAGGCGGTGTGTGTGTTACGCAAGGGAGAATGACGACTGGGATGATATCTGTGAAGAGGAACTGGAGTTGGATCCCTCCGTGCCATGCCAACAAGACATGATGGAATTGGTGCCACCCACGGACGAAATGGCAAACACCTTCGTCTTGCACGCCAAGGAGGATGATATCAAAAACGCCTCCATGACAAAAGAGTCATGCAGCAGTGGTACAAACCACATGGCGACGGAGGAATTGTACCGCCTGTTGGTGACACAAGGGACCGTTCCCGCAATTGTGGAAACAAACGCGGAAATGAAGGAATTGTACGAAAAGGAGATTGCATGGCGTCATGCCAGGAGAATGATTTGTCGGTACCGTCAACGTTTACGCAATGGCGCAGAGGCGAGGAGCGAAACGAATGAGGAGACTGCCGTTCGTCTGGCAGAGATGATTTCACCACCGCGTCGTTTTTTAAGAGCACTTCCAACGGCGGTGGTGGCTGTCGTGGACAGTGAAGATGCAATGAGGAGGGCGCCGCCGAAGTCTGTCATTCCTCCTGATGGTGCTTTACATTTAATGGAAAATGATGGCATGCTGTTTCTTGCGTCTCGGAAGAATGAAAATTACATTGTGCCGCCTACACCTGTTCGTGTCGTGGGGTGCAACTCGCTTCTTCCTGCCATGTGCCGCGGCACGCCATGGTTGCGTGGATATGCAACAACACCGCTGGAAGAAGAAGAAGATGCATATATTGAGAGCCTTCCTCCATCCCAGCGTCCGCCCGTACTTTGCGCCTGTCAATTTTTTGAGGCTGCCATATCTGAAAAGGTATTCGGTCGTGCATTAATTGAAGGACTTGGGTATTACGCGCTGCACTCGAGAATGGCGGGGATGGATGATCTTGTCGCACGGCCCGTGTGGCACTTGGGGCTTGCGTCTCGCGTCCCACTACTTCACTTCATGGCGGAAATAAGACAACTCGTGTCGATGGCGGCGTATCCAACAGGTATGACGTTAAGCATCCGAGGAAATTGTTTGCTTTTCCGACTTCAGGAAGCGGCTCTTCGGGCAATGTGCCAGTTATTGTGTCCATGTACCGACAGCTTTGCTCCACAGTCTTCCTGTCAGCATGTGTGGAGGCAGAATGTACCGCGATCCGCCCTGTACGAGTACGGCGGACGCATTGGTGTTTCTCGGACAAATGGCACATTGTGTGCTTCAAAACATGTTTACGATGCGGTTCGGAAGCATGCGCGGGGAGAGGGAGAAAACACAGTGGACATTTCGAGGTTGTTGGTATTCACTGTCGTGAATCCCTGGCAAACGTTAACGTCTCTTTCAGATTTTGGGAAAAGATATGACGTCATTGAAAAAGAAGACACATCGTCCAATGTTTTTAATGACGGCGATCTTCTCGTGTATGACAATGTACGCCGTCAATGGACCCGTCTGCTGCAGCCGGACGTGACTTTGGAGACACTGTTGCTTTGTTGGGTGAAGAGACTCCTTGTGGCAGCTACGTTTCGTCACGATGACACAGGATGGCTCCGGGATACTGAGGGTCGTATTGTTCAGGTGGGACGTTTTCACATCTGGAGCGAAGTGCATGATGGTCTGCCTTACTTTTTTGGTGCCATTCCCAAGTTTGCTAAAGAGCGCCGCAGGAGGATGCTGCGAAAAACCCGTGAGAAGTTTCTACAGGAAGAAGAAGGAGCCAAACGCCTTCATGAGGGAAAGAGGAATGAGAAGGACTATGTGATGCCAGCGCAGGATCCGGCAGGACGCCATTTTGAATGTACCCTCTCAACACATTTTAAGAGGCACGGTGATGCCGCAAATTACTTTTGTAATGGTTCATTTACATGGAACCCATACGGTAGACGCAGGTAGGAAACCCGTTTATACTTGCTGTTGTCTTTTATCGTTATTGTTGTTGTTGTTATTATTATTCTCTTCTACTCCGTTTTATGGGAAGAAGTCAATGTTCATTAACCAGAATTTATTTATTTATTTATTTATTTATTTATTTATTTTCCTGTACGGCCATCAGTTGGCACCCATCATGCCTGAGGTATTTTCAAACTTACTTAATAACAAAGAAATGAAAGAAAATAATTAAAAAAAAAGTGGCAGAATGACATAAGTTCCTCTTCTTCCCTTTCTTTTTTTTTTTTTTTTTTTCCCTCCTCCACACCAGCATACCTACATAAATATTATAAATCAATACGTATATATTGTATGTACATGCATGTATGTATATGTATGAATAAAACATCAAGAAAAGATAGGAAAATACAGATACCGCCCCTTCATTTACATAAAACCGTATGGACATGCATATGTAAAGTTCTGTACATATCGTCTAATTTATCTTAAATATCTACCAGGTGAACGTCATTCTTCCTTTTTGTTGTTGTTGTTTTTATATTATTATTCTTTGGGGGGAGGAGGAGGGGGGTGGGGGGGTTGTCGCTTTTTTTTTTTTTTTTTTCTTTTTTTTTCTTGATCGAGTCGAATCCGTCCCACATTTCTCTTATCATCATTGTTATTATTATTATTATTATTATTATTATGCCTTTGCGTGGTGTTATTTTGTAACACCGATTGAGCGGAGAATTGAAGGTGAGTTAAAGAGATCTATTGTGCATGCTTCCTTCTTCTTCTTCTTTTTTTTCTTCTTTTCCCCCTTTTTGATTAAAAGAGAAGTAATTGGGGGGGGGGATAAAAAAAAAAAAATGTAGAGAAAAATAGACGTGATAACATTGCGAGGATGACTCTGTGTTTGCATCGGCGAAATTCCTTTATATGTATAACTTACACGTCCAGGCACGTGATAAAGGATGCAGGAGAAAGAAAGTGTGGGTGTGTGAATTTGGATAGCAGGGTGTTTGTTTTCTGCTGTTGTCATCTCCTCTGCGCTCCCTGCCGAAGGATTGTTTGTTGGTAGTATGGCCTGGCACACGTCCCACGGTCTGTTGAAGTTGCGTACACGTCTGTTACATCTCTCATCTGCGTTTGTCGTTGCTTTGCCACCCTCGGTGAGGCCACATTACACGGCCGGCAAAGGTGGTGACTTTGCGGGGACGGGGGGCGGCATTGGGGAGACACGCATACAGTGTTTCCAAAAAAAGTAAAGGCAAGCTTTGAGTTGTTCCACATTCACACCTCCAAAGAGAAATTGAAGGCTACGTCAAGAATTCTTTGCACAGCCGAGACGGAGAATTGTAAATAAAAATATCAGCGGGGTAAAATTCATATGGAAAGCGGGAGATGTTGTTGATGAAAAAACGGCTTCGACTGAGAGAAGCGTCACCCCCTCAAAACCATTACAATGCATACGGAGTGTCTTAGCATGAGGCAAACGAGAGATAAGCCGTTTTTTCTTACCTTTAGCAAACTTTAGCCGCGCGTCTTCGGTTTTGTTTTCATATTGGCATCATTCTTCTGCTTCTTTGTTGTTGGAATTCCGGGTGTGTCTTTGCGTGTGCGTGTGCGTGTGTCTTCATACCCTTTTTCTTTCCAATTCTTTCTCTGACGCTTGCGTTCTGCATTGGGCAGTGCGGTGCTTTATTCGCCCACGGAGTCTGCACTGGGGAAGCGTGCCCTGCTGCTTCCCACTGCCCCACGATGGGGCGAAGGGTGGGTCGTGTGATGCGCCGTGCTTCTGGTGTAACGGTTGGAGGGGCTGTCTTTGCACACTGCTGATTTGAGGCACGGTGCCAACGATTGCATGGCGGGGATCTCCTTCGACGACCGCTTGAGCCCGTAGCTGCTGTTGAGGTGGTACCCTCCCAAACAAGCACGGGCACACACACACACGTGCTGAGGTGCGTGTGTCTCCCTCTGTGTACGTGCCTCCTCACATTGCCCTCATCGCGATTGTTCCACGCTCCCTCTTCGCATTGTGGTTATGGTGCGTGGGTCCCGCAGTGCGGCGGTGCCTTGGCAAATACGGGGTGAGCAACGCAGGAAATGTTTTCCATTTTCTGTTGGGGGCTGGCTGACGCAGTCGCACGATGCCCGCCATGCGTGAAGGTGTTGCCTGCTCTTGTGGTCATTCTTCTCTCATCCTTTGTTTTTGCACTGCCGGGTGCGGGTGTCGCTCGGTGTGTGCTGGCGCATGACGGACGGTGCCACGATGGCCTCCTCTGACGATGACGCTCTCTGTGTTATAGGCACACATCCACACACTTTTGGTTGTCTCTCTGTGGGAGTGATTGCAGCAGGAGCGTGGTCTACGGCAGCGGCAGCTGGTGCTCACTTTTTTCTTCCAAAACTTGTTAACTTTGCCTTTTCGACTCTTCCCATTTCTTCCACGCACACATACACACAAAGGAAAGAAGTTAAAAACAACCGCTAATCGCTACCGTGAAATTCGAAGGCACTGAAAGGACCAACAGCACACACACCGCCCACACACACATATTTATATGCTCTCACGTGTTGCTGCTGTGAAGGCACCCCGCACACACAACCGTCGCCGCGTGACCGGATCCAGCGGAAGGAGGAGGGAAGGAAGAGAGAGTGAGCCGCAGAGGCCCAAAATGTCCCGGCATGTGTTTACTTCCGCGGTGCTGCTCCTTCTTTTTTTCGTGATGATGTGCTCTGGCAGTGGAGCTGCGCACGCTGTGGAAAGTAATTTGAGGGATGCGCAGATGCCGCAATGGGTTGATATTTTTGTGTCGGGCAAGACGCGGGTGCTGGCAAAGGATGGGACTGAAGTCGGAGTGAAGGATTCGTTTGGCGTAGCCTCTCCTGTCATTGCTGGCGGAGTGATGGCTGTGGCTACTACCGGCGGTTTTTTACGTGATCCTGTAATATACCTTTATCAAACTGATATTCTTGCGGAGTACTTCAACCCTGCGTGGGATTGGTCGTTCCTTGCCGCTAAGGTCAGTAAGGATACATGGAGAGCATACACTGTGTTTCATACAGCGAATGAAACGGAACTTGTGGGTGTTGCGCGCCTTCCGGCAACCATTGGGAAGGGCAATAAGGTGTTTCTCCTTGTGGGAAGCTATGAACAGAAGTATGACGGCGCCACGAAGAAGTGGACGACGGATGGCAAGGATATCAAACTGATTGTGGGTGATGCCAAGCCGTCCACGGACAGAAGGGAGAGTGGAACGATCATCTGGGGCGATCCCACATCGCTGTTACAACAGCTCACCCCACAGACTCAAACGGAGTTGAAGAACCTTGAACCCTCTGGTGGCGCTGGTGTTCTGATGGAGAATGGCACTCTCGTCTTTTCTTTGTCGGGGCCTAATGAAAAGGGTGAACGTTCCAACAGGATCACTTATTCGACGGACGAAGGCAAAACCTGGGTGTTTCCGGCGGGTACGCCCCCTGCGCACTGTGTTGGAATCAGCATCACCGAATGGGATAAAGGACAAATTCTCATGGTTGCTGAATGTGCGGGTGGTCGCAAGGTGTACGAGTCGCTTGACATGGGGAGAACGTGGACGGAGGCTGTCGGGACGCTCCCAGGCGTGTGGATCAACTCCCGATCAGGAGCTCGTTGGGCTATTGATTTGTCTGTGGGATCCCTCACCACGGCGACCATTGAGGGAGTGAGGGTCATGCTGTACACTCATAAAAGATACCGCACTTTGGAGAAAAGGGAGAAGGCGCTCTACCTTTGTGTCACGGACAACAGCCGCATGTTTTATCTTGGACCGATTTATGTGGAGAGTTCTTTGAGTGAGACAGTTTCCAACACCTTGCTGTACTCGGAGGATGCGTTGCAAATTGCAAGATTTACGTATACAGGAACCAGCAAGGCCATTTCGCTTGCCCGCCTAACAAAGGAACTGGAGACAATCAGGTCTGTCCTCAGTACTTGGAAAAAGCTGGATGCCTCCTTCTCCGCTTCGTCCACACCCACGGTTGGTCTGGTTGGATTCCTGTCCGACGCGGCCAGTGGTGACACGTGGCTTGACGATTACCGCTGCGTGAATGCAAACGTGACGAAGGCAGCGAAGGTCCACAACGGTTTTAAATTTATGGGGCCTGGGTCCAAGGCAACATGGCTCGTCAACAGCTGGGAGGAAAATACTTACTACAGCTTTGTGAACGACGATTTCACTATTGTGGCGACGGTGCTTATCCACCAGGCTCCGAGTGAGAGCACTCCTCTGCTGGGTGCGAGTCTGGGAGACACTGACGGCACGAGGTTCATTGGGCTTTCGTACGATGCGAACGGTAAGTGGGAGACAGTGTTCAACGGCACCAAAGCAGTACAGGACAGCAATTGGGTGCCGGGGAAAGAATACCAGGTGGCGCTGACGCTTCAGGGCGGCAAGAAGGGCTCCGTGTACGTGGATGGTGAGCTTGTGGGGAGCTCGGCGACGTTACCAACACCTGAGACGCGGGGGAATGAAATCTCACACTTCTACATTGGTGGAGCCGAGGGAGGCAGCGACAGCGATCTGACGGTGACGAACGTCTTTCTGTACAACCGCACACTGAGTGACGAGGAAATAAAAATGGTCAAGAAGAGAGAGGACTCCGTGCGTGGGGGCGCGTCTCGGGTGCTCCCGCTGCTTCTGCTGGGGCTGTGGGGCATTGCGGCCCTTTACTGAGAAATCGCAGTGAGGAGTTCCTGCTTCCAGCGGGGCTATATGTGCCTCCCCACGCACCCTCTGAAGTAATTGACTTTTGTGTGGACGCAACTTTTATTTTATCTGTTTTTATGCTCGATTGGACTACCCCTTTCTGCCCGTGTAAGTCGTTATTTAAATGGTGTGCTCTTCCTCCGGGGACTGCACTGCGGGGCCTGTGTTTTTGTTTTTTTGTATATTTGTTTTTTCCTTTTTTATATGGAGGAATATTTTGAGAATGGCAGGATGTATTTAATGTTTTTGTCGACTGATGACAAGTGCATTCGGCATTGGGCGCCACGACGACGGTGCGATGAAAAAAGTGAGGTTAGATGTGCAGCAACTCACTGCGTGTCCCAATGAAATGTGAAGGTTGTGTGGACACCAGGGAATTGAACGGCCGAAACAAATATATTTTTACCTCCGCAGGAAGAATATACAAGTGTTTTTTTCTTTGTTTTTTTTTCGCGTCACGATGTTTTTTTGCTTTTTTTTTTTTTTTTTTTGTGAGCGTGAAAAATTCGTCGGGGCGAGTTTTTTGTTTTTATTTTAATTTTGTTTTCACTTTTTTTTTTATATATAATTTTTAATTTCTATTTCTGCAAGCGTATTGCGGGTTGCCGCTGGTTGGGCTGCCGTGTCATGTTTCGCTTTGGCTGCCTCCTTCCTTCCTTCTTTTTCTGTCCTGCACCTCCGCCGCGTGTTTGTCTGTGTCCCTTCACGTGCGTGGATCTCTCCTTGTTTTTTTCTTTCTTTGCGTGTGTGCAGGCACACACACACAACCGCAGGGCGTACATGTTGCAGTGCAGTTGTGTGCTCCTCCTGCAGTCGGTGCGGGCAGCTGCGTGTGGCTGCGGCCGCGTCACTCCGTGGAAATGAAGAGAAGGAAGGGAGAGGCAGTGAGAGTGCGCCGTGGCTCTCATCCCCTGCGGGAATGCTGCGCGGCGTGTGGCGGTATTGTTTTGAGGCGCCGCACCATCACGCACGAGGACGTGGCACGGAGTGGAAGACTTCTTCTTTTTTTATTGTGTCTGCTGCTGTGGGTGTGGGTGAATCCGCGCCGGACTTGTAGGCACGATGGCCGCAGCGTGTGGCTGTCACTCTGTTTCCTCGGGAGATATGCTGCCATCAAATTCATTACGGAAGAAAAGAGGGACGTCAAGAACCAAACGATTCATGCCAACCCCATTCTTGGCTGCCATGCCTCTTCCCCACGGGTTGGGTTAACTTCGGTGGCGCCCCTTTCTGCTTTCCTTTTTTTTTTTTTTAGAAAAGAAAAGAATGAAGTACCAAAGCATTGCATTTATATCCTTCAAAAAGAGAGATGAAGAGAGAAGGTGTAGTTCATAAATATAAACAATACATTTATGTATTTATTTACCTTATTGCCAGCGGTAAATTAGTAACGCTCTTCTTAATGTAAAGCCATGGAACTCGTAGCTTTCGTAGCGGAGACGCACTTTTTACAGCGGCAGAGAAATCCGTAGTCTTCCAGGAGACGCTGGCGCCTTGCATTTGCATCATCTGCGTAACTGTCAACGTCAATGTATGCAATCGTTATTTCCTCCTCAGTTTTGATAGGGCGACGCGCCACAAGTTCCATCGAACACGCCCCCGCTGCTGTTCGATGTTTTGGGCGTACCACCGCCGCGTTTGGGACGCAACTGTGGTTAATCATGCAAAGTTCCCCCTGCAGTGCCCAACCGAGCGTCTCGCTCTCATTAAAAGGGTAGCCAATGCTGTTGATCTTGGTACGGAGAAGGACATCGCGAAGACGCGCCACGTCGACGTCGTATCCCTGCGGAGAAAACGTATCCACAACGAGTTTCGCAAAGGATTCACAGAACCGATACGCCTTCACAAGCTGCTGGGAAGTATTCATGCACAACCCTTCAACGGCTTGCAAAAGTGGGGTGTCTCCTAAAAGTGCGCGTGAGCCGTACTGCAACGCAAAGCGCAAGTAGTCTGTGTCACCCGCGCGCACAGAATCAGGAAGCGTACAAAACCACTCACAAGCCAGTTGATGTGCCTCAAGAAGGGGATGCGTTCGCAGTATGGCGGCCTCACGCTCATTTCCCTCCAACGACATGGCGGGCGCCGTCCCATCTGACCGCTGCCACGCCTCCTCCACTAAATCCTTCACGCAACCAAAGCACAACACGAGATGCTTACAGGAGGAACACTCATACCGGATTTCTTCCCAACTCTCTTCGTCTCCTCGTCGTGTCTCCTCCTCCCCTACTACTCTCTGAGGCTCCGTCACGGACGCAAAACAGCGATAACATGTGTTGCGCACAAACGGACTATACAGCACGGCAATATCATACGGCACAAGAAGAATAGTGTCACCTTCCCCGAATTCCGTCTTCGCCACAAGGCCGCGTCCCCGTTGGGCATCCATGTACTCCACAGAAGCCTTTTTTGATGACATCATCTCTCCGTCACTCTTTTCCATAAATCCCTTCAAAAGTTGGGGAGAGGATACGCATGTATATGTATGTGTTTTGGAGTTCCCTTTATATGGATGGACACACCCTTTCCTTCCTTCCTTCCTTCAAAAAAGCGGGACAATATTGTAAAAAGAGAGTCACCAACAACAAAAAGGATTACACCAATTTTCCCTACAAGTCCATGTAGAGCGGATACCCAACCATTGCGGGGGTATTGTCTGTGTTTGTGTGGATGGATGGATGAGGCATGTGTGAAGGGGAGGGATAGAGATGGCACAGAGAATGACGTTAGTAAAGAAATAAATAAAATAAATAAATAAAAACAAGGCGTAAACCATTTTCCTCAGCTCCTCATTCCCTTTTATTCCCCTCTCACACACACACTATCTCTCTCTCTATATGTATGTATATGTATGTATATATCATGCAAAAACCCTCACTCCTCGTTCCCGGCATTTCAACCCCACCACCACCACCGCCACCGCCACCGCCACCTCTCTCTTGTTTCTTCTTATTTAATCTATGCATTCATACAAGTGGAATAAAAGCACGGGAGAAAGAGAGATAAAATAATAATAATAAAGATATTTAACGGGCGTTGTTACACCGTGGCAAAAACCTACATGAAGAAAGAGTAAAAAGGTCATGTGGAAAAAGAAATAATAGATAAAAATATATAAAGAAGGAGTTTGTGTGTAATGAAAGGAAAAAAGAAAGTCATTAACTTTCGGTTTCGCGGCCAAACACAGCAGGCAAAACGTCCGTCCAACCACAAATGAATCATTGGATGTGGAAACGGATAATGATCCCCGCACACAACACACACACGCCCTTCCGCTCCTGCAATTCCTTCAGAGCCGCAACTTCCTCTCGCTTCATGTAATTTTATTTCTTGACTCTTATTGCCGTCACCGTCTGTTCATTCACGTTTCTCCCCCTCATTCCCCCTCTCCGCTCCACCTCCTCATCCATCCCTCCCACTCTCTATGCGCAGTCATGCGTTCCCGGGAACATTCGAGATCCCCTCCGCCCTCTCTCTCTTTCTTCCTGTCTTTTGTTTCCTTTCCCATTTTTTCATGTTAAATGGCACTCCGGCACCATTTTTTTCTTCCTCCCAAGTTCTTCTGTAGTGTCATGTGGAGTCCCCTTCGCTCTTATATTCCCTTCCTTTTCATTTTTTTTTTTTTTCTTTTTCTTTATCATCTTGTTTCTCTTTTTGTTTCTTAGTTGTTTTTTAGTTGTTGTTTTTCTTGTTTTTCTTGTTTTTGGGAGAAGTCGTTTGTTTGTTTGCTTTATCGCTGTTGATCATTTCTGGTGTCAGCCAGACGTCTCTCTCTTACACACGCGCCGAGAAAAAGAAAGAGCGCCAGTCTCCTTCTTAGGGGTCGCGGTTTTCCGGCTTCGCAAACGGCATGCCTAGGACGTCGAACACATCCTTTTCACATGTGACGTGCACGCGCTTCACCTCCAACTCCTCCTTCGTGAGCCCCAACGTCTCCATCTTCGCCGAGTGACCACTAATAACCGACACAACAGGGTCGACGCCTTCCTCCACAGTAGGGTCCGAGGCGGCGTCCGTGGGAGAGTTTTTGGTTCCCGCGATTTTGTTCGCCCGCACCCGCTCCTGCAGCGCCTTCACCTCCTCCGGGCTGCCAAGCTTAAAAAGGCCGTATTCGTTCAGAAGGTATCCTTTACTGATGGCGGCTTGACGCATGATCACATTAAAGTTCTTGCTGCCGGTAAACGTGAGAAGGGCAGTAGGCACCGATCGGGCCTCAATAAGTCGAATATCCACGCGACGGGCCTTGTAGTGCTTTGTCGTCCCATTTGTTGTGCGAGGAGGCAGACGACCCATGCCCATGTACTTGAGTGGCCCCTGTGCCATTGTTGCCTCGAGGTAGTTTCGCTCCTGAAGGTAATCCACAAGCGTACCGAGGACCCCGGTGTTCGTCACTGGGCAGTCAAGTGGTGGGGCACTTAATGTGCGTGCAAGAATGGCGTCCACATCACCGCTGAACGGATGCCGGCGACGATAGCTACCGCACACTTGAATTTCATAATCGGAGGTGAGCCGAGCCTGCACACTTTCGCGGAGGAAATTTTCATGCAAGACGGACTCATGCATAGGAATCTTCTCATTGATATCGTGGAAGTATTTTACGCCCACGCGCTGCTGGTCTGTCAACTGAATACGATCGGCCTTCTCTATGAGTTCCTCCACGGTAAATATGCCCTCTCGATCAAAGAGTGCAGCTGCTGCGCGTGGACCGAAGCCATGCACTTGTGTAAGCTCCTGAATCGCCTTGAGTTTCGGTTTTGTCTTCTTCTCAAGTTCCTCCAGCTTGCCCGTCATGATGATCTCCTCCGCCTTCTTCAGCAGCTTGGAGCCAAAACCGGGAAACCTTTCCAGGTCCTCCACCGTCCGCAACGGCAGGTCGAGGTTCGTCTTGAGGCTATTCAAGGCGCGGATGTAGCTCTGCACCTTGTACTTTTCCCCAAGGGCATTATTCAAATCTGCCATCTCCTTAAAGATGCGGATGATGTTCTCTCGACTATCCGGATTAAAACGCCAGAATGTGCGACGAAACATCTTTTTTTTTTTTTTTTTTTTTTTTTTTATGTTTGTTTCAAGCAACTCCACGAAAAAAATAAATAATAATAAATTTGTATTTTGTATGAAATAACGACAGTATGCTGTTTTGTCTCTCTCTCTCTCTCTGTGCGTGTGTATGTCTGTCTGTATTTATGTATGTATCGTGTAGATGTCTCCTCCTCGTCCCCTATTCGTCGTCTCTATTTCCCGCGGCCTCGCAGTTATTATTTTTATGATTCTCTTTCTTGTTATTGTTGTTTGTTGTTGTTGTTGGTTTTTTTCTTGATTGTTTGTTTCCCTTCGTTGGTCCTTCGGTGGGGAGGGGGATGGATCGTTTTGCCGCGGCCGTGTGGATGGGAGCTGCACGAACCCTTCGCTTCCTTCTCGCTGCTTTGAAAAAAAAAAAAAAAAAAAAAAAAGAAGGAACGGGGAGACAAAAAATGCGCGGAAAAAAAAACGGGGTGATGAAAGACATTAACGGAAAGAAAAGAAATAACACTCAAAAGCGTGTGCGGCCGTTAGAACGACCTTGTGGAAGCGTGACGACAGCAACACACAAAAAAAACAAAATAATAATGATAATAAATAAGGTGAGAAAAGGAAAGGAGAGCGATAAGAACGCACCGTGACTATTACATGTGCTCATATGGATCGTCTGGGTGCATGCATGTTCTCCCCGTGTGCGTTTAACCTCCCCTCTTCCAGCCCCTCACTGTTTTTCTATGACATCTGTAGACGCCGTTGCTCTTTTTTTTTTTTTTTTTCTTCATTGCTGTTTCTATGGAATGGAATGAAATGGGGTGGAGGAGGAAAAAGGGCCCCACAGCTCTCCGTTCGCTCGGTATTTGCCTCGCCATGTGCGTAAGTGCGCGTTGCAAGCCCCTCCAATTCACATCTCGCGTTGCTCGGGCTGAACGTACGTCATGCCTAATGCGTCAAAGATGTCACGCTCGTGTTTCACCTTCACTCGCCGTGACTCCACCTCACGCCAGAGAGCGGCAAGTTCTTGTTGCTGTTGCCGCTGCCGTGCTGCTGAAATCTTCTTCCCGTGCTTCTTGCTACGTGTATCCTCGCCAGCCCCGTCAGCACCATCTTCGCCGTCGTCGTCCTCTTCACCGTGGCCATCGTCATCTCCCATAAATGCGGGAGACTTAGCAGAGTAGTACTGTGCCCGGACCAACTTCTGAAATGCCTCCGCATTCCACCGGCCTCGGGCCGTGTTGCTCCCACCACCGTTATTACTATTGTTATTATTAGGCTTATTCTTGCTGTTGCCGCCGCTGCTACCACTACCACAACTACTGCTGCCATCGACTGCATTGTCCTCGGCGGCGGCAGCAACGGTGGCCGCTGCGTCATTGTGGAAGAGGCCGTATTCATTTAGCACAAAGTTCTGCTTGATCGCTTCTGCCCGCATGACGACGTTAAAGTGCTTGCTGCCAGTAAAGTACAGCAGCGCCGCAGGGAAACACTCCGGCTCCACAAAACGAATATCGAGCCGCCGTGCCGGGTACAACTTTGGGCTTGTCGCACCCGCATTGTAGTTATAACTCCTCAGCCGACTTACCCCCATAAACTTTGTCGCCCCTTGCGCCAGTGTCGCCTCGATGTATCGCTCCCGCTTGA